CATGGTGACCATATGAATAATAATAGCTCTGAACCCTGCACAGGGGCAGATCAGCTCAGGAAGATCTATGAGATATTTATTATTATTCTCATTTTACAGATGATAAAACCAAGGCCCAGAAAAGTTACGGCTTGCACAACATTATAGATTTGAAAACTGACAAAATAGTCCGCAAATTCATCTCACCGAATACCAAGAAGTAGAGTTTAATATCTATGGCAAAAACTACCTGCCCTGGCAGAGCTGAGAGCAAGCGAGTCAGAGATACAGGGTGGCCGCTGGGCAGGACTAAAAGAGGCACGTGCATCCTTATTCACCTCTGGACAGTAAAGCCTAGGCCTAACGCTGCTCCTTGAGGGCGTACCCACACAGCCTGGGGTATCCCAGAGGAGGGTACCTGGGATAGAGAGAAGGAGCAGACGCTGATGAGGCCCAAGGTGGTGTCAGGATCGAGGGCTGTCGTGGGCAGAGCAGCTGTGTTTGTAGCCCAGCACAGCATGGGATTTGGGGAAAGTGTTATAAGATTGTCACCCTGAGTTAACCACAGTATCAGATGAGAAGGTCCTAGGGTGAGATGAGAGTGGGAAAGGAAAGACTCAGGGGCTCCCAGGCTCTCTCTTTTGGTCTCAGTTCTGGTGAACCTCTCTGGCCATTTGGGCAGATGGATGGACTACGCTGTGGGGATGGAGAGAGGGGCCAGTGAGGGCGACAAGGATGTGCTAGGTCTATTCCTGAGGATGCCCTGTGTGGAGCGTGCCTCAGCCCTTCCACCTGCGTCACTCAGTTGGGGCACACCCTTCTGCTTCACATCATTGCCTGAGCCCATGACAACTCAGGGAGTGGGGAGTGGGGGCTGGGCTCTTTGCTCCTGCTTGTAATCCACCGCAGCTGTGGCGGGGAGCTGCCAGGCCTGGGACTGGGGTGAGCATCCCGAGAGTTTGGGCACCTCCGAGACACATGCCTGAGTCTGAACCTGAATGTGTCTGATTGCTTCTCTAGATCAGATTGTCCGCACAGGAGGAGTGTGTGTGTGTAAACGTCTGTGTGTTGTTACACATATAACTCTCACTCATTGCCATTGAGTCAGAACTGACTCATGGCTGAGTCTCCAGTGGATTTTCAGAGGCAGTAAATCGCATAGGAAGACATTGCTCATCTTTGTCCCATAGAGCAGCTGATTGATTTGAATTGGAGGAGGTGGATTCAAACTGGCCGCTTTGGGGTTGGCAGCTTAACTGCATACCCACTAGGCCACCAGTGTTCCTTATATAGAGATGCTGACAAATTTATCTGTAGAGCTGAATTGCAGGGGTGAGGGTGTTTATCTGCACACATATTTGCTTGATGAATGTTCCTGTGTCTCTGTTTCTCTCCCTCTCTCTCTTTCACACACACACACACACACACACACACACACACACACACACACGGAGGGAAGGGAAGGAGGGAGGGAGAGAAAGGGAGGAAAAGAGAGAGTGTGTGGGTATGTTGTGTGTGTGTATGGTAGTTGGGTCAGCTCCTGAAGGAATCTCACCTTTGTGTGCCATCCTCGATGTTTGCTTTGATAACTTCAAGTAGGTACCTTGGGGATAAATGTCTCTTTGTTCTCTGCGGGGCTCATGTGTTTTTTTCACCCATCACTTTGGATATGTGTGTTTGAGGCACACAGAAAATCAGAGAGAGAGGAGATGGGGATAAAATCAGAAGCCAGCCAGCCTTCCAAGCACAGCCTCACTCCCTGCGTGTTCCCGGCCACCTTCTACCCTGTAGAGCCACCATTTAGGCCACTGGCTCTTCTGTGCCAGCTCCTTCAATTCTAAAACAGGTTAAAGCAGAGGCTTTACAAAGGGTGGGGATAGCCACAATGCCTGTCAATAGGCGGAGGGATCCATGAAGTGTGCTACTTAACACAGAACAGAATCTTAACTCAGCCATAAAGACTGAGCTCTAGGATTGTGGTCCATAAGGAATTAAGCTACAAACCCAAGGCTGCCGTTCTCTGCCAGTTTGAACCCACCATTGTCTCTGTGGGAGAAAGACCGGCAAACTCCTGTGTAATTTACAGCCTCAGAAAACTCACTGGAGGGTCAGCTGTCAGTTGGTTCCCAGTCGAACGCAGTGAGCTGGAGCTGAGGGTACATGCCACCGCTTGGATGAACCTTGAGAACACCGTGCTGAGTGAAAGAAGAATTTCTGTCTCCACGAGGACAAAAACTGTAAGGTCCCCCTTACCTAAAATATCTAGAATAGACAGATGTGTGAAGAGCAAAGTTCCTTGGTGGTTACCAGGGCTGAATGGGTGGGAAGGGGACAGGGGACTCAGGACTTAGGAGACATTGAACCTCTGTTTACAGGGTGGAAAAATCGGGAATGGTTGAATAATATGATGAATGTATTTAATGCCACTGAACTGTGTGTGTGAAGCTTGTTGGAATGGCTGCTGTATATGTTTAGGTATATGTTTTTAATATGTGTATGTATATGTATATATATGCACACACACACACACACACACACACACACACACACACACACACACGTATACCACAGTGAAAAAATGTTCTAAAAAAAAATCTAGAAACTTCAGTTACTCTCTCTCTAGAACAGCGATACCACCTGAGTCCCAGAGGTTCTGATGTGACTGGGCTGACTTTTAGGCCAGTGGTACGTGAGCAGAGCTATCTGGGTTCCTGGGCCACGCAGGTCTGAGGAGGAGGAGGTGATGAATCCCTATACAGAGGACCTCAGGCCCGATGATGGTCCCACCTACTCTGCTGATGAGCTCCTGGCCCTCTTGCCAGACCTCCAGGAAGCTGCCTTTCTGTCCCAGAGCCAAGGTCTCAAACACAGGGCAGACATGGTGACTGGTTAGCTGTTTCTGGTGACATTGGGTGTGTTGTTGTCCTCTTCCTCCTGCCTGGACCCTGCTGGCTGTGATGCAAGAACAAGGACGTCCTCTTCCTATCAACAAAGGGAGCTGAGACCCAGAGAAACGGGTGTTCACACCATGACCACACGCACGGCCATTGCAAGTCCTGCCTCCCTTTAACTCTACCAGAGCAATTGAAGGTCATGCTGAGGCCACTGGGGCTGGGCATTGTTCATTCTGGAAGCCTTTGACTTGTGATTATCTGAGGTGTAGATGAGGCTAGCCCAGACCTCAGACCTGCCTTACATCAGCCCCTGGCCCTTCCTGGCCAGCAGAAATGATCTTCTACTTCTGCTGAGGTTGGTGGCCTCAGATCTTCCATTGTTCAGTCAGGCATATCAGGAGTATCATCTCTCTGCTGCCTGAGACTTGGGACTTGGGTGGTGGAAGGGACCAAGCCATTAGAGACTGAGTCACCTCACACCCAAGGTAAATAGCAGAGTGCTGCGGAGAAGATGGGGCTTCAAGGGCCATGTGGGTCTAGAGGCTGAGCCTGTGTTCCCAGCGTGGGCTGTGCCTGGGATGCCCATGGTCTCTGGGCCTCTCTGAGTTTTTCATGTGGGAAGTCAAGGCCCCCCCCTCAGCCTCTCTGAGTGAACCCTAAGCAGGCAGAGGGGGGCACAGCTTCAACGAGGTCCCTTTTGTGGAGCCTTCCTGGGGCTGGATTTCTTTATCATCCTTCAGGTGTTTTTTGTCCCCAGCTTGAGCTTGAATGGACTATGAGGAGGTCGAGGAGAGAAGGGCGGGAGGTGATTAGGCAGGGTAGTTGGGGATAATGCCTGTTGATGGGGGGCTCAAGGACTGATGGTGAGGGGCGCAGGTGAAGGGGTTCCCTCTGTCTCCCATGTACCCTCTGATCTAGGCACTCATGGGCCCATCTTTTTAACACCTGCATAGTATTCTGTTTTGTCGCTGTGCTTTGACTTACTTAAGAGCACCTGTGTGATGGATGCTTTGCTGTCCCGTTTTGCTGTTATTTTAAATCATGCGTCAGTGACTATCCTTGCATATACGGTGAAACCTGTGAGAACAGGGACTTGATGGAACTGACTTCCCCCACCCCCTGATCTTGCAAGTTTTCTGCCTTTGATGGTCTTAGCACTTTTCTGTTGATTGTTTTATTGGAAAATACTGAGTTTTCTTTCTCTGACAGTGTTCCTTATAGAGGTCCCACCTCTCACAGGCTTTACTGTATTTATTTTTGTACACATGTAAATATTTCTCTGGACTAGATTCCCGTATGTGGACTCTTTGAGTTGAAGGGCACTTGCATTACTTGCATTAGTGACTGATTTTAGAACCAGGCCAGTTTCTCCCCTGGGAGACCCATCTGGTTTTTACTAGTAGCGCCAATGCTTGTCCTCACAGGAGCCCCCTCCCCCACAACCTTGGGGGCTTTTAAAACTCAGGCCAGAGCCCATTCTCAGACCTCACTTTGTTTTGCTTATCACAATACTAAAAACTTTCTTCTCCAGAATAAGAAGGCTGAGGTATAATGAAAGAAGCGTGTGTTTGTTAGGGTACAGGCCAGGCAGATGTAACAAAGTGGCCCTCTAACATGGGTTAGACATAAGGTTATCTTTCTCTCACAAAACCACCTGGAGATCACAGGCTCATAAGATGCCTCAGCTCCACAAGATCACTCAGGGATCACCCAGTTCCTGTCAGAGTCACCCCTCAGATATTGTTCTTGTTGGACCAGGCTTTAGGAAGGATTGAGGAATATAAGTGAAAGGATGAACAAGGGATGGAGAAGTGGTGTCTGTGTGGGAACTTCTCATATCCACGTGTGAGGACAAGAGAGACTGGCCAGTCTGTAGGTGGACATGACGTTCTTCAGCTATAACTCTCATCTGAGAAGAATGAAAGACAGTGGGAGGTAATGCATTTTATGCAGGGTAGGGAACCATTCTAGACTCTTCCACTGGATTGGCAGAGACTTGAGCTAGCCTCAGTCTACATTTTATCCGAAGTGCCTAGTGCAGGATAGGTGCTTAGAAATCGTTTGATGCACAGAAGAATCTAGAACAGTATGGGCAAAAGGTGGGTGGCTGAGAAGTTGGCTGCCGGTATGGCATAGGTAATGAGACTCTGTCTCTCCTTTCGTCCACTGGACCTACAAAGTCATGCCTTTCTTTTTGCCTCTCCAGGCCAGAGACGCCAGGGAGCTGACCAGTAGCCTTGGGCAGTGTGAGGTCTGTGCCTGGTCTCCTCCCTGAGAAGCACCATGACCACTGACATCATTCAGGCCTTGCTGGCTGCTCTCCTCCTGCTGCCTGTGGTAAGAGCGGGGATCCTCCCCTCCCCCACCAACTGAGACCCCCAACTCTGGACAACCCGTAGCTCTTGTGTGCCCTTGGATGAGCTCTGTCCACCTGGATGATATCTCTGGAGTCCAGGTTCATCTCATCACCATGGGAACCTAAAACACCTTTGTGTGAACCAGGAAAGGACCCTTTTAATCATGATCCTCTAGTGTTTTGACCAACAGTTGTCATCAGACTTGTCAACCTGTGATCATGGGAACATGAACGGCAGCTTTTAGAATTGTGTAGGGTGCAATCTCCCCACAGCAATGGGCTCGAATGTGCCAGAGATTGTGAAGATGGCTCAGCATAGGACAGGGTTCAGATCTGTTGTTCATAGGGTCGCTATGAGTCCTCCTTCACTCAACAACATCTAACAGCGACAGCTGTATGCAGTTGACTCAACTGTGTGCCGCAGCCATGGTCAGGGATTCAGGAGAGCCACTGAGCTGTCAATCCCTGACCCTCGAGGCTTTGTCCTGCTAGAGTTTGGGAGCCTGTCCTCTGATAGGGTGTTTCCTAGAGCAAGAGAGGAGTTGAGGGAGAGTTCCCTGGCATTGGAGTCATCTTTCAAGGTGGGAGTTTAGACCAGCAGTCCACGAGGCTGTTCTCTGAGCCCTAGGTGCTAAGTCAGGGTTACGTGATCACAGATCAGCCTTTCCATCCTTCTTATAGCAAAGGAGGCATTTGAAGTCATTTGGCCTCGAGGTAAGGAACTGCTCTGCCAACCCAAAGACGTATGGTTTGAATTTACCAGCTGTTCCACGAGAGAAAGATGAGCAGTCTCCTCCCGTGCGACCTTCTGCCTCTGAAAACCCGCTGCAGAATCAGTTATGAATCGCTTCTGACTTGACAGTACATAGCAACAACAGTCCTGTGTTTAAATTCATAAATGTCTCCAGCCAGCTGTGTGGCATTGGGCAGGAATTTCTTAGCTTCTCTAAGCCTCAGTTTCCTCTTTGGTGAAATGGGACTGGAGTAAATGAGCGAGGTGAGTAGATCTTCACTGAAAGCTACTCTTGGCCTTTTCTTGATGTCTAATTTGCAAATTCTTTGGGGTACATCTCCTTCTAAAGCCACACGTAGGAGGTGGTGACCTCTCAGCCCATCATCTCCCCAAATCTTATCTTTGCTCTTCGCATGTGTCATAGTAACATCTTAGTCTCCAAAGACAGATTTCCTGAGTTTGAATCTACGATTAACTGTGCAGCTCTGGGAAAATTACTTGATTTCTCTGGGCTAAGTTTATGCATCTGTAAAACAGGAAATGCTAAAAGCAGTGCCTACCTCATAGTTCCTTTTCTTTCTTTTTTTCTGCACATGTAATGTAATACAGATAAGCAAGGCATGTGTTGCTATTGTTATTAGGTGCCATCAAATTGACTACAACTCATAGCGACCCTGTGAACAGCAGATCTGAACCCTGTCCTATCCTGTGCCATCCTCATCATCTCTGATATGTTCAAGCCCAGTCCTTTTTATGTACTTGTTATTATTTTGAAAAGATGTGGAAGCCAAGCGTTAGGAAGGGAATAGAATTCATGCAGGGCCACCTAGTTGAGTTGGTGATGGAGACCAGTTCTCATACTATCTGTGACAAAGTTGGGGTCAGAGCCTTTGCTGGCCTGTCAGTCTCCCCCTCACTCTCCTCCTCCTGCTGGGAAGCCCCACCCTCCACAGGATACTGCCTTAGGATTGGGCAGTGGGGCACACAGGTGGACCTCCTAGCACTCACCCATGTGTGTCTCCCACAGGCCACTACCATGTACTATCCTGAATGTATCTTCAAGAAGGAGCAAGCCATGTGCCTGGAGGAGATCCAGAAGGCAAACGACCTCATGGGCTTGAACGGCTCGTCCCCTGGTGAGAGGGCAGTGGGAGGGCGGGACTCTCCAGCACCTCGCAGGCCCTTCTCTGGAACTGGTTCCCCAGCCTTGGGCCTCACTTGGCCTTCAGTGACACTGGGCAGTCCTCCTCGAGGCTGGCCTGCCTGGGGCTGTTCTGGGTGGCTGAATGCTGCTGCCTTCTCTCCCCTGGGGTTTGGGAGCCCATTGGCAGAAGCTGTCAGAGGACTATTAACCAGCAGGCAGCTGGGACCTGATGGCCGCAGGGACACAGCTGTTGCCAGTGGCTGAGTTGGACAGCATCTGGTCAAGCAAGAGGTGGGGCGAGGGTCCTCCTTTGCTTACTTCATCAGAAGTCAGAACAGAGCAGCCATAGCAGCAGTCGGCCAGTATGAAAGACCTCGGGCTGTTGGCTGCAGTGGTTCTCCTGGGGCTGCTGGTAGAGTCTGGGGAGGAGCTGTGCTTCCTGGCTCTGGCAGGGCCATACAGAGCAGACATCTAGCCCTTTCCCTACCAAGTGTCAGTCACATGCCCGATCCCAAAGAAGACCAAAAATGTCTCCCAACATTTCGCAGCCTTTCATGGGAGTGGCACAGTCCCTGGCTGAGAACCAGTCATCTTGAGTAAGCGTTCTCCTCCTTCTTCTCCCACTAAATGGGAACGAAGCCTCCCTTAGTTTTTCCTGACTCCCACTTGGTAACTCCCTAGAATCCACTCTCCACCCTACAACACATGTCTGACCCACCAGCCTAAGAGTTGGGCTCTCGCTTGGCCAGAGAGATCCACTTTTTCTCTCAGATGCTCCCCGTTTTGCCAGTGAGCTGTTTGAAGCACCATCTGTTTAAGTGCTTGATTAGTCTGCCATCCAGTTAGTTGTAATAGTCTCACCAGGCCCCAGCTCCCTGGCCAGTTGCTTACGAGGAGAACATTACCTGGTAGTGGACTCACCTCAGCCTTGCGAGGCTTTCTCTCCAGCCCTGGCCTTGCTCAGCCCTAACACTTTGTTGAAGTGCTGGGGTAGAAGGTCCTTTCTAGGCCCCACCACCTGGGGAAACTGAGGCTGAGAAAGATTTAGGTGGGCAGACAGTTGGAGGAGGCAGAAAGGCTGTCTGGTCAAGCTCTGTGTCTGGGAAGGTGGAAAATGGACCTGGAGGACAAAGTTGGGTATAGGTTCAGAGAACCAGGCTGAGAAGCATCTGGAACTCAAGCATTCAACCACCCAGTCCGGAGTCTTTTCCTTGCATGGTCTTTCTGGCTCGGGCACCCTTGAGTTGTGCAATGAAAGCAAGTGGGAGGAAAGACTAGGGGTGGGAGGGAGGTGGGGGCAGGGACTATGGGGAGAGCCGGCATGCAGTACACTTTAATTCCACATCTGTTTATTGCAAAGGCCGGAGAGGACAGGACACATCCTGGCAGAAGTGTGAGAGGGCTGTGTGCAGGGAACGCTAACTCTCTTGTGAGGAAGTAAGGCCTGGGCTGCAAGGAGGTCGCGTACACCCCTTCGCCAGGCCCAGAAGAGGGAGGGAAGAGGTTTTCAGGGGAGGGTGAGACAGGACTCCTGGAGAAAGGGGCGGCTGAACTGCAGCCGTGGTTCTAAACCTTAGAGTCACTAGGGAATTGTTAGAATATATGCGCAGACCACATCCAACCAATCAAATGAAATCCTCAGAGGAAGAACAGGCCAGTTGGTCAATTTTAAAAGTTCTCCAGGTAATTATGGTGAGAATTTAGAGCTAAGAACCTGTGAAGTAGGCCTGAGAGGTAGGTGGGAGTTTGACAGGCAGGTGAGAACATAGGGTTAGATGGATGGGGGAGAAGATTGTAGGCTAATAGAGCTTAAGGAGGTACTTGACTGAGGGTCAGACATCATAAATCTGACCTTTCTGGAGAACAGTAACTAATGCCCTCTATTGGACCCCTGAAGTGGAGTTAATGGAGTTAGGGGGCGAGGTTAGAAAGGAAACTGTTCTGGAGAGGCCAAAGTCCAGGAAACAGGTATTTGCATATTCTGTGTCTTTCCCACCTGGGGTTGGTCTGAGACCTCCATAGTCTCCTCCCACTGCCTGACATCATCCCCCTAGGCCTTCATCAGACCTTCTCCGCCAGTCCTGCCTCAGAAGCCTTGACTATATACAGGTCATCCTCAAAGCCTGGACTTGAACCTGGGCTTTTTCCGCACATGAGAAAGTAATTAATTCATCTGTTTGCTCACCCATCCATTCTCTCATTTAATCCCTTAGCCTCTCACTCACTCATTCAATTTATGAGGATCTGAATTTGTAGGCCTAGGCTAGGTGGAGTTGGGGTACAGTTAAAAGTTAGGGAATGTGGAGAGAGATTGACACTCCTGTATTCCGATTGGCCGTTCTGAGAGGTATGCTGGTCTGTCAGGAGACATGGAGACAGGGCTGTGAGAACGAATTCAGTGGAGGGAGAAGGCTCTTCCTTCTGGGCCTGTATGTGAAGGGAGCAGACAGGGAGGAAGCGGCATTGAGGGTGGGCCTAGAGCAAGGCAAGGTGTGAAAAATTGTCCTGAAGGTAAGGAACTGCTCTTCTGTAACCATGACGACCTAGACGGGAGAGAAAGCAGCCCCATCTCATAGTCTGAAGGTCTCTCTGAGGATAGATCCTCCTCTACTCCTCTTCAAATGCCCACTTGAGTCAGGGATGGGGGCTTAAGAATACACAGCTGAAGCCTAATTAAGCAGAGCCAAAAATGCAACCATCAGGTGAGGCAGTGAAGAGGAAACTGTGGGCCCAGGTGGACCACCAATTCCATGGCCTGCTGTCCAAGAAGCCCGCTAAAATGAGGGCATAGGGATGGATCATGCTAAAAGCCAATATCTAAATAGGCTTACTGTGTGCCAGCTACTTTACTAATAATGGTACCACCACAGCAACTTAGGAAGTGGGATTCATGATTATGTCTATTTTATAGTCGAGGAATCTGAAGCACAGTGAGGTTGTGCCCCTTTATAGAGGACACAATCAGTAAGAGGCAGGGGTGGTACCTGAGCTCAGGCTCCTCTGCCCTCACTTAGCTTTGACAAATGGTACATTCGGAGTCCCAGCCTCCCCAGACACTAGTCTCAGGACTTTGTGAAAGAACATAGTACCTTAATTTTCTTGTCTGTAAAATAGAAGGGGGAAAACCTCCAGCTATGTACCTCTCTGTATGATTACATTAAGTGACAGACTACATGGGAAGTGCTAAGAACCGAGGGTGGTGTATCACGTTAGCTAAGCACTTAACAGACACGCTGTGTTATTAGGAATAGTCATAGTCTGCCTTGGAGGTTGCTCATTCTGTGTTGGCTCTGAGTTTTTCTGGGGAAGTTTAGAGATCTTTCTAGGAAACAAGATATAATACAGTTTGGAGCAAGTTGTGGCATCTCCCTGCAAGAGAGGGACCTGGTCTGGGCTTTGAGGACAGAGGGAGGTCAGAGAGTCCGCTCCAGGCGGTGGATGATGTGAGTAAAGGCTGGAGGGGAACCGTGAGAATGGTGGCTGGTGTTGAGTACCTGATCATAGGGACCCTCCGTGGGGTTTCTGAGGCTGTGTATCTCACGAGAGGAAATTGCTCATCTTTTTCCCAAGGAGCTGATGGTGAATTTAACAGCCAAAGAGGAATGGCCTTTGGGTCAGCAATGGATCTCCCCACATATTACATTAGCAGAACTCCCCCCTTGTGATATATAGTACTTATATAGCAGGCTCCAGGTTCTAATCTTTATATACACATATACACACTCCAGAGAAGCTTTTAAAAAAATTTTATTATTAATT